CTTTGGATACTAAGAACTGGGAAATTGCTGACCTGGCACGTTCTCATCTGCAATACTTTCTGATAACCGTTCCACTATTTCTGAAAGCTAAAATCTTATACCTAAAATTAGGTTTCTTTCGAAACTGGAACTCTGTACAATACTTAAAAGTTTAGGGCTTGATTTCCAAGAGGACAGCAACTCGACGTCGCTAAGCACGTTTTTAGCGCTCATGTTTGGACCAATCCAGTTAATATGCGGAAACCAGTGGAGCCTTCAACCTATTGAAGCTCAACAATGGCTTCTTGATGGAATATCTATATCGGTCGACGTTGAGCAGCCCTTGGACTTCCATTTTTTGAAACGAAATCTCGTAAAGAGTCATTTCTTGGTTGAGTCGGGAAACGAAAAATTTTGACCCCTTCTCAATTCTCAAAAAATGGCACTTTTCTTAAGAGGCCAGCATTAGTGAAGGGACTACCTCTCTACGCTGCTAATGCTAGAAAATCTAAACAACAGCACTTTCTTAGAGGTTGAATTACTGAGAAACATTTCCTTCCTTAGGTTCAGAAAAACCTCTTCTTCAATGTTAATGCTTCCTTTTGACATGTACCCATTTAAAATTGCACAGTACTTAATAAGCTAAATATTCTGAAAACTCAAAAAGCCAAGCTACATTTTAAACAATGAAGATTTTAAATTGTTATGATGAGGGGAAACAAATTTTCGAACTTCTGACTCGCCATTTCTTAAAAAATGTTATTTTGCAATGATAATTTTCGATCTTGGGAATCTATTACATTTGCAAACCACATTCTACACTTGATTTTGTGCATAATATGTATATTTTAGATTTAAATTTTATTGCTTGGGCGCGACAGATCAGAAATTAAAAGTTTCCAAACTTCTCACTGCTGTTGTCGTTGCAAAGAAAAAACGCAAAGCAGATAGTTGAGAGGCAGCGCTAACGAGTAATTGAGTGGTTATTTCTTGCTTCTGTTTAGCCTTCCAGGTTTGATATGGTGGAACACTTTATTGGTCGACGTTTCGAACAAATCGTCGTTTTCAAGACCTAAAAATTGGTTCGAAGCTCTAGTTTGTAGCCTATCCGCTCACACCCCACTAGTACCAAATGTTACGCTTCTCAGTAATCTCAAACCAAGATAAGTTCCAGCTAAAACCAACCTCTTACGGCTCCACCAGTACTGGGTCCCGCTCGGTTCCGTGGACAGCTGACGAAAAATGAGACACCCTCACTCAAACGTAGTTAGTTATGAGTGGTTATTCTTTGTCTGAACAAGGAAAAAGCAATGAACCATGACTCCAATCCTTTTGTACCGTTCGTCGAAGGAGTAGGGATTTTGGTCCCTACAGGCTTTGCAACCCAAAATGTGAATTTCCTTCACAAGAGGAGCACACACTCAAGTACAGCAACGGCCACACTGCTTATGGAAGAAGCGTCTTCCATAGAATGAGATCTCTGTGCTTTTGGTAGTTAACCCAGCCTAATTCCTAGGATCCTTCAGTCAAAGATTGAGCAGAAGTAATTTTAATGACCAATAGGATGAATTTTGACCTAACTTCAAAGAAGTAGTGGTGGGGAGCGTTTAGCTAATCTAAGGTCAGTTAGAAGTTCATTCTCAGAATGGAAAAACGTATCAAAAGGCTTTCCTTTCAAAATTGGATTATAATAATTAGGAATAATACCATGTGGGTGTTGAAATCACGCGAACAGAAACCACTGCTTTACACTCTTCAGAAACCAAAAAACTTATATCGTCTCAAGGCTATATAGGCTTCGATGATAGGCTGATGGATGAATGGATAGATACCCAGCTTATTTCGAAATTTGGTCGAAATCTCAAATTTGGCTACAAACTTGTCCCTAGGGGTATTTTAATCTCCGGAACACGAATATCACACTTGTTTGCTGCAAAAACGTCTGCCAAGAGTTCTGTGGGCTCCATGTGCAGTCTTTAGTAAGTACCGCCGAAACTGATTAGAAACTCCTCGCAAAGTCTTTGCACGGGTAACTACAGGCAAGCATTGATCGAGTAAGGTAGTTGGGAGCCTTTTCAATCATTTTGCAGCGAAGGCAAAAAAGAGAACCCGCCAGGGAATCGATCCTACGACGTCTCGCACGTGAACCCGGACTACTACCGCTGCACTACTTTCCTTCATAACTCCATTCGGAAAATCGTTTGGCAGATTTGGAAAGCAGATTCGAGATCAGCGTCCAAAAACACATCCACCGGTGTAGGTCTCTTTACATATGGCCACTTCGACCATCATCCTTTCCTGGTAAGTTGATGGATGGCTAAATCAACTTCCAATGCAGACATAATGCTTGAAGTCTGGTGTTTGACATTAGGGTTTGACTGTCCACGGAATCCTCATTCGCAACGCGGTGTTTCTGGAATGCCAATTTTCACCCGGAAATGGATCACTTCAGATGTAAAGCCAAAGTGAGGCAATACATGAGCGCGTTGCTCAGCGATGCGGCTTGGATGCTCTAAAAAAATGCGCGAGCGCTGATGGTTCTGAAAATGAATGAATGAATTCTCTGGAGCGCTAGTTTATACATGTGCTAATTCAATTCGCCCGCGTACGAGCTCGTTACACGTTCATAATATATCGCTCTGCTGGAGCCATTTTAATCCAACTCTCTCGAATCATAAGCTCCCATCCTGCATTACTGCTTTTGGCTCTGTTCCGGCTTAATATTCCCACATGCTTGAATTTTTTCACACAGCTTATTATTTAAAAGTGCTAGATCTAGAGTTATGCATGGTCTCTAAACTATAGTCCTGTATGGGGTTTTTGAGAGTCTCCTTTCGCCATCTCAGGGTTAGAGTTTGGTACTGGTCTAATACTGAATGCGAAAAGCAGCAAGCATGCCATGCTTTAGGAACAATTTTGCTTCAGAATTAAAATGTGCTCACGCTACTGAATGGAAGTCGAGTGCGTGGCTCACCCTAGCTTATCAAGCATGAGACGCTATTTATTAATGACCTGAGCGTAACGAAGCACGCATGCGACCACAATTTCAAAAATGAGTTAACATACTAAATAGAATGAAATAAAACTAAAGTGTTATAAATAATAACTGAGTGTATAACTAGACAGTAAACATTCTACTAATACTTTATCGAAAAAATAAATTTATGGTCATGCCACGACAAATATTTTTGAAAAGGCTTAGCCTTAAGTGTGCCGAATTATTTTCCAAAAGAATATGTGTGTAATAGGTGCCAAATTGCATCTGTTATACACGTATTTCGTTTGCGTAAATTTGAAGAAAAAGAGTCTGGGCACCTGAACCGAACCGGCGAAGGTTTTTTTTTTATTTTTAGCATACCCACTCTGATTTTTCACTGCTGTAATTACTCTCGCTATTGAGATAAAACGGCGGGAGCGTTCCCTGTTTTCGAACGAACAACTCTATAGACGCAATTCCATAGAAGCT